AAAGCCTTTGCCCACATGGTGATCAGGCACCTGACCCTGACTCCCTCAGGGATGAGAGCACCACTTAACTTCTAAAGCAGTGGTTCTCAACCTTCCTAATGCCACGACCCTTTAATACAGTTCCTCATGTTGTGGTGACCCCCAACCATAAAATTATTTTTGTTGCTACTTCATAACTGTAATTTTGCTACTGTTATGAATCATAATGTAAATATCTGATATACAGGATGTATTTTCATTGTTACAAATTGAACATAATTAAAGCATCGTGATTAATCACAAAAACAATATGTAATTATATATGTGTTTTCCGATGGTCCTAGGCGACGCCTGTGAAAGGGTCGTTTGACCCCAAAGGGTTCGTGACCCACAGGTTGAGAACCGCTGCTCTAAAGCAACCTTAGCATCAGACCCTCAATCGATTGGGTCCTCTGACATCCTGTGTCCACCACACAGTGAAACTGAGAACTGGTGTAGAGGAAAAGGGAACTGCAAATGCCAGGCATGGGGAACAGGAAGAGCTAGCAGGCTGAACAATGGTAGAAGGGAGAGGTGCTTCAATTGGTATTTTTATAAAAGCCCAAAGTGCTATAGCTGCTTTTACAGAAAAGACTTTCCATAAAGGAGAACATAACAGATTCGAGGTAAACCTCCTCCCACTACTTCACTTGCTTTTTCAAAATAAGTCTAAGCACCTCTCAAATGAGTCTGCATTACAATGGGAGCCACTAAAAGCAGGAGAAGGCAGCTTTCTCAAAATCTGCTTTCTTGATTAACAAAGGTTTCATCATTATTTAAACCCGAATGTCCAGAACAGTAGCCACCAGCAAAATGAGGCTATTAAGCACTTGGAAAGTGGCTAATAAAATAATTCATAGACAGAAACCCCATTTAAAATGAAGTCAGGCCCCAGTCGGTTTTGCTCAGTGGATAGCATGTCGGCCTAAGGGTCCCAGGTTCAATTCCGGTCAAGGGCATGTACCTTGGTTGCAGCCTCTCTCCAGCCCGGGCCCTGGTCAGGGCTCGTGCAGGAGGCAATCAATCAATGTTTTTCTCTCACATCAATGTTTCTCTCTCTTCCTCCCCTCTTCCACACTCTCCCTGAAAATCAATGGAAAAATATCCTTGGGTGAGGATTAACCATAATAATAATTAATAAATAATAAATAAATAAATAAATAAATAAATAAATAAAATGAAGTCAGGCGGCCAGATGGGGTGCTCTCTTGCTCCGAGATGGTGGAATCCAACAGGAAGAACTCTTTATCACAGCTCTCCAAACTTCTCTTCCTCTATAAAACAGGGTTCTTCTCCTTTGTTCTCAGGATTTGCCTGAGGTTTGCCAGAAGACCACATGTCCCAAAGTGCAAGGCTTTGTTATTCCTGAATAAACCCATTTTGTTGGAGAAATATTTAGCTGTTTAAAGTCAACACCAGTCTGAAGTGATATGCACTGTAAGTATAAAATACACACTAGATTTTGAAGACAATACCAAAGAAAAAGTAAACTATTTCAGTAATATTATTTTATATAAATTCGATGTTGAAATAATACTTTGGAAATATTATGCTAATTAAATATATTATTAAAATTAATTTCACCTTTTCTTTTTACTTTTTTAAGATAACAAGAGAAAATTTAATTATGTATGTGGCTTGCATATGTGGCCCACATATTTCTTCTAAAGGGCAGTGATCACTTAAACAATTATCTAGTATTATAATTCAATCACTTATAATTCAATCAATAGTTAATTTATATCAGGAAGCCTAGTTCCACCCCCAGCTATTCTACTATGCTAAAATCATACAGAAGTCAGTCACATCTCCAAGAGACCTATAGTCATCTATAAATGCAGTGGGAGGAGGAGGATATTTACAATAAAACACTAGTTTCCAACCTTTCCATCAAAGATATTTTTTACAATACTCCAAGACATGAAGATCTTCATGTTTGAATAGTGTCTGTCAAATAAACTAACTAATCTTAACAACATTGTTTATAGCAAAAAAAAAAAATCAACATGAGACAAATATCCAAGAGGAAATAATATTTATAATATAGCTATAATAATAAACACGTAATATGCTAATTAGACCAGACAGCTGAACGACCTTCCGGACGTCATTCCAGATGTCCTTCTGGACGAAGCCGCAGCAGCGGGGGCAGAGGCAGAGGCAGTTAGGGGCGATCAGGCAGGCAGGCGAGTGGTTAGGGGCGATCGGGCAGGCAGGCAGAGGCAGTTAGGGGCGATCAGGCAGGCAGGTGAGCAGTTAGGGGTGATCAGGCAGGCAGGCAGGCAGAGTGGTTAGGGGCGATTCGACAGGCAGGCAGAGACAGTTAGAGGCAATCAGGCAGGCAGGCGAGCAGTTAGGAGTGATCAGGCAGGCAGGCGAGTGGTTAGGGGCGATCAGGCAGGCAGGCAGTGTGGTTAGGGGCGATCAGGCAGGCAGGCAGGCGAGCAGTTAGGAGCCAGCAGTCCTGGATTGCAAGAGGGATGTCCGACTGCCTGTTTAGGCCCGATCTCTAAACCTGAAAAAATTATATGAATAGGCGAAAACTAACTTGAAATAGATTCTACTGCTTTAGTCTAATAACAGCAAATAAGATATAGATCAAAATGGCAGAGATTAAAAAGACTGACAATGCTTCATGTTGGCAAAAAATTTATGTTAGCAAAAAATTTAAAACTAACCATCTAATATTCAGAATTGGTTAGTAAATTGGGCACAGATAAAGCAAATATACCAAAATAACAAAATTTTAACAATTGTTGAAAACAGATGGGTGTGCGGGTATTGTTTTTTCTATACTTTCAACTTTTCTGTGTGTTTGAGAATTTTCATAATAAAAAATTGGGGAGAAATTAGTTATAGTCCATATAACAGGCATTAAAGACAAAGTTGATTTATTTTTACTTAATAGGTTTTATGGCCTGTATTGCCCACATTCCCCGATAGGGCCCACCAATAGCAGAATGCCAACTCCTGGGAACCCACAAGCAACCATTAACCCCTACTGTCCCTCCTAACTCTAATCAACATGAGGTTTCTGTTTAATAAACTTCACAGTTATTCAGTTATATACAGGAATAAGTTTCTCTGTAGATGTGATAAGCCAACAGAAATGAATGCCTGAGGACTCCCCCCAAATGCAAATTTGTCTTTAGGATACCCATTTCTACTTCAATTTTTTAAAGTTGTCATTATCAGATTTTCCCTCTTTATGTTCCCACAGACCTACACTCCTTTCTTATTTTTTCAAATGCACACTTACTCTCTCAAACCCACCATTCTGAAGGGACTTGCCTTGGGGTTCACAGAACAGCTAAGTGGCCCTAAGGAAGAGTGGCCTTTATGAAAAGATCACTGGAGAGGAATTAAAGAGAGACTCTATTTCTAGCAAGTACTTTTTTTTTTAATATATTTTATTGATTTTTTTACAGAGAGGAAGGGAGAGGGATAGAGAGTTAGAAACATCGATGAGAGAGAAACATCGATCAGCTGCCTCCTGCACACTCCCCACTGGGGACGTGCCCGCAACCAAGGTACATGCCCTTGACTGGAAACGAACCTGGGACCCTTGAGTCCGCAGGCTGATGCTCTATCCACTGAGCCAAACCGGTCAGGGCTCTAGCAAGTACTTTTAAGAGGGAGTCTGGTATTGATGGAAAAACAATGGCCCAACAGGTTTCTGAAATTGAAATATGTTAGTTTTCAGTCTATTGAAATCCAAGAATGAAACTCAACCAGGTTTTAGGGAATTTAAATGGATGTTTTTGGAATTACCTATGGGACTGGGAGAGAAAGAGAAAGAAAGGGGGAGTGAGGAAAGGGAGGGGAGAGAAAAGGATGAAGGGCAGGAAAGCAATGCTACCCTAGAAGCAGAGATGAGTGTCTGTGAGGTGCTGAGAGTGTGTGAATAGATAGGAATTTCTATCCTGTGCTATGTCCTGTGGTCATTATAGTTTGCCATCCCCCACCGCCGCCCCCTAATTCTGACTTCCCAAGTGCAGCTCCTACTCCAAACTGTACTCCTCCCCCTTGATTAGGTGCAGACAGAACACTACTCCAAGGCAGAGTGGGAAACATACAACACTCCAGCCCTGGACATCAAAAATGCAAGGCAAGCAGAGTCACTTTACCTGGTGCAAAGTGCACTTATATACATTTTTTTATTATTATTATTCCTTTACTAGGCAGCCACACATACCCATGTGCCTGGAAAGGACAAGGGCACAGTTAATGCCACTGATCTGTGAGCAAAAGAAAGGTGACAAAAGGCATCCTGACTCCTTCCTTTAATAGACTGTAAAACTGATGGGGAATAGGGTAGGCGAACTCCTTAGTGGTATAGAGGTTCACAAAGCCACCCCAAAAAAGGTGCTTCGAACTATCAATAGCAGGTATCAACATGCAGATAGTACCCACATGTGGGTAGACTACTATGAGAGCTTACCAATGGTAAGGTACACATAAATGCCTTTTTAAATAATAGTAGCAGGAAATATAAAAGGGATGGGAGCACCAACCGTAACAATTTGGATGGAATCTAGGCTGTTAGGCTGACACACCTTAGCAAACTGAAAAGGGCGCACTTCCCCAAGAATTAGGCATGCCAGATGTGTTCGCCAAGCACGTGTTCCCACCCAGTGGCATGGTGGGGACCAGAACCCGCTCCCACGCCCCGCGAGCATTGGACACTCCCGCTGGGCTCGTCCCATCTCGGTCCCTTACTGGCTGTGGCCTTGGGTCCCTAAACTGCTCAAGCTCGGTTTTCTCTTCCATTAATGGGAATGGTTAACAACTCAGTTCTGCAGCCACACATCATGCTGCCCACACGGAACGACTGGCACATTCACTGGAGCTCGCTCGCTGGCGGGCAGCATACCCGGCGAGTCCACTACTGCGCGCAGCCTGCTCCGTCAGCTTTCCGACCCGCCATGCGTCAGCACCGTGCTCCGCCGCACTTCCCCGCGGGCCCCGCGGGCGCCGCTTACCTGCCAACGATGAGCACGGGACCGGCCGCCGAGGTCGCCATGCCGGAGCCGGGCTGGCCTGGAGGCACTGAGGGTCGGAGTAGCCGGCTCTGACTTCGGGCTCGCTGCTATGCTGGGCCCCACGCCAGACGGGCGATGACCCACACCTATTGGCTGCGCTCGGAGTCGCGCAGCCCAGATTGGTTCCGATTGGCTGCGGATTGGCTAGGGCGGGGCCAGGGCTGACGCGCGCCTCGGCCCCCCGCAAAGGGCGAGGCTGGGGACTGAGCCTTGCCCCCTCTCCCCCTTTTCTCCCCTCCTCCTCCCCCGCCCCGCCCCGCCCCGTGCGTAGGGGCGTGGGCAGAGCTGTCCCCGCAAAACCCACTGGAGGGAATGCCAGTGGGAAGCACCGGGCCCAGACACGCGGAGTTCAGTAATTCATTGTTTATTTTTTCAGTTTTCCACCCTCACCCTAAAGTCAGTGTGCCTGACCCTTTTTGGAACCCAGGAGCAAACAGACCAAAAATAAAGGGCATCCATCACACATCACATGACAGCAGTGTATGTCTACACAGCACACAGTTCTGGGAAGTGCCGCGGTCATCCCATTCAAGGCGATTACTCGAGTGGAAACACATCCAACACCAGTAGACTCATGACAAATGGAGCTTTTCCTTTATTTGTTTTCCCCAGTCAGAAACATGGAAAGAGGGAGTCAGAGGGGAGGCTAAGCTTTGAAGATCCACTTCACAAATTATCAATAAACATTTGAAAAGGTGTTCAACTCAAGAAAAGAAAAACGAAAAGCACACAACAAACATAAGTTATCCTTCACCCATCAAATTGGCTAAAATTACAAAGATTGATGATATTCCCATATTGGCAACCAATACTCTTTCCTACACACTTGAAGGCAGGCATATACTTCAATAGGCTTTCTGGAGAGAAATATTACAGTATATTGTTGGACGAGCTGTCACCATGAGGCCTGAGCATCCCTGCACCTTCCTGCTGAGTGTCAGAAGCCAAGATTTATCCATCTCCTGATACTGAGCAGTTTCTGTAGCTATTCACACAGGCAGCTAAAGGGGTCAAGGCACCCGCAGGATGATTATGACTACTCTTGGAGTAGAAAGAGACTGGCTTTTTTGCTGCTCACTACAGTGATGGCTCTTTAATTTTTTTATAAGAGATTATCAGTGATAATCTCTTTTGTTGTTGTTGTTTTATTTTGTAATATATTTGTTGTAATATATTTTTATTGATTTCAGAGCGGAAGGGGGGAGGAGAGATAGAAACATCAATGATAAGAGACTCATTGATAAGCTGCCTCCTGCACACCCCACACTGGGGATTGAGCCCACAACCAGGGCATGTGCCTTGACCAAATCGAACCGTGAGCTCCTGGTTCATAGGTTGACATTCAACTGAGCCATTCTGGCCCAGTGGCTCTTTGCTTTAAAACGTGCTGGTCCTTGGCCCATTGCAAATGGCCCTCTATGTAACCCTGTGGGAACTGGAGGCTCCAAAACCAAATGTATATACATATGCAGACATCCTGGCTATTACTATTGCCGTGAGTACTAGTAGTCTCATGTCTTCTGTCAACTTCCACAAAACTATGACCCATTATCTTGTTTGTCTGCAATAAGGTGACCCCCTACTATCCTCCCCTTCCCACAGTGCTTGAAACATCAAAATTTTAAATGTATGTACCCTTTGGCTTTCTGATTCCAGTCCTATAGAAATACTCACAAGTAGACACCGAGATAGGCTAAGCTGTTCGTTTCAGCATAGTTTTTAATAGAAAAATATTGAAAACATGATGAATATCTATCAATAAGAAACAGTTTTGAGGATTATAGTACAGAGGATTTCTACGTGTGCCCAAGATGCTCTTCAAAAGACACTGTTAAGAAAAATAAAAATACCAACCACACACTGGGAGAAAATATTGGCAAAACACATATGTAGTTAAAAGCTTGTGTTCAGGACATACAGAGAAGTCTTGTAACTCAAAAAAGGGAGAAACAACCGATTAAAAAGTGGGCAAAAGATTTGAAGAGACAGTTCACCAAAGAAGATATATTAATCGTCAGTAAGCAATGAAAAGATGGTAAACATAACTACTAATCAGAAAATGTGAATTAAAATCACAATGAGTTACCACTACACACCGGGTAGGATTAATATTAAAATCACCTTGTGTTGGTAAGGATGTGGAACAATTGAATTCTCATATTATTTCTGGTAAGAATGCAAAAGGAAGAGTCACTTGGGAAAAGAATTTGGCAGTTTCTTCTGAAGTGAAACATATACTTAACATATGACTCAGCAACTCCACTCCTAGGTATTACACAAGGGAAATTAAAACAAGTGTCCACACAAAGATGTGTACATGAAGATTCTTAGCAGCTTTATTCATAACTAGAGGCCCGGTGCACAAAAATTTGTGCACTGGAGGGGGGGGTCCCTCAGCCCAGCTTGCCCCCTATCACATACTGGGAGCCCTCAGGGGATGTCCTACTGACAGCTTTGGCCCGCTCCCTGCTCCCCTTGGGGAGCTAGCCTAAGCCGCAGTCTGGCCAGGCGACCGGGCTGATCAGGGGAAGGCGCCAGTTCCCATCACCCCGCTGTTGCAGCCACTGCCAGTCACCGCAGCCACCAAGGTGTTTTCATCAACACGGACTCCAGTCCCTTCACCATGAAAAAATGACAACTTTCTTTAAGCATTTTCAAGATGTGTCTCTCATAGGATATGACATTTCTTTCTTTCTTTCTTTTTTTATCCTCACCTGAGGATATGTTTCCATTGATTTTTAGAGAATGTGGAAGAGAAAGGGAAAGACAGAGAGAAACATCAAAGTGAGAGGAACACTTTGATTGGTTGCCTCCTGCATGAGCCCTGACCTGGGCCCAGGCCAAGGAGGAGCCTGCAACCTAGGTACATGCCCTTAGTCAGAATTGAACCCAGACCCAGCAGTGGGAAGGCCAAGGCATTATCCACTGAGCAAAACCAGCTAGGGCAGGATATGACATTTCTTAGCCCTCCAGCAGCGGACCTTCCTTTTTTTCTCCAGGAGTGTGGTAAAAAACCCTAGATCACCTTTTTGGATTCTTATTACCCAAGTTACTAAGAATATTACCAGTGACATACAGGGAGCTAAGCCAATGAGCAGTCAGAAAAGGTGTTTCCTCTGTAGTTCACACCAATTGCCAGCTTGGCCCCTGCCCAGGCCTAACGCCTCTGGCCAAGTCATTAGCCCTGGGAAGGGGACCTCCAGCTCCCTCAATCGTCGGCTCAGCCCCTGCTCCCCATGATCGCTGGCTCCGCCCCTGCACAGGCCTAACACCTCTGGCCAAGGCCTTAGGCCTGGGCAGGAGACCCCCAGCTCCCACCATCGCCGGCTCCTCCCCTGCTACCCACGATCGCTGGCACCGCCCCTGCCCAGACCTAAGGCCTCAGAGGCATTAGGACTGGGCAGGGGAGGCGCAGCCCACCGCGATTGCCAGCTGCA